GAGCAGCTCGGCCTGGATGGCTCTTTGGAGTTCTGTAGTCTTTCCTTGAGATAGTCCTATGTTGTCTCATTGGCATTAGACTCTGAATGGTGCTTCGAAGAAAATTGATTTATTTATTTTCCTTTAAAATTCACCTTTTCTCTTTTTAGCTTTAGGATGTTTCCTCTATGTTCAAAATTTTGTAACTTAACATGATACAAGTGAGAAGGGTCTGAAAAAAATTCAATGATTTGTCAATGTGTCTTGGCTCAACCCTTATGGATCAGTGCTTTCTACTATATGGGGTTTGTTTTCATCATGTGGACTCAAGCCCTTTTCCTGTAGTTTCAAGAATGGAAGCTTTTTCTTTTACTGATCTACCAGTAAGGTTTGTTTTCACAGATGCTAGTCATGTGTGCTGTATTTCAACAGAAGAAGACAACCCTTTCATATCATTTAGAAACCATCTCTTTACTTGTACTTAACTTAAGCCACTTTCATATCTGTTTTTGCTGTCTCATAACTTTTGTGTTTTTTAATGTTATTTTCATTTCTGTGACAGTTTCTTTCTTTTTCTTATTCTTCTTTATATTATCTCATTTCATCCTCTTCATCTCTCACCTGAGTTTTTATTTGGGGAAGAAGATGATCATGCAAGGTTTTGATGTCTCTTACACACTACCTTAATTAACATCTATATGGCAAGGCATTTCATACACAAATATTACAGCATGATTAAAAAACAACAACTTCACACACACATACACACACACACAGACAGAGACAGAGACAGAGAGAGAGACTGTTTTGTGATGGCTAACTACTGGAAATGGGCCTTATCCTGGAGTATAGTTGATATACCCAGTGTCATTCCATTGGAGAAAACTCATATTCCTTTTATTGCAAATATCTTCTTGGTTGGGATGACAGAAACTTTGTGTTCACTTCCTCTTCTCAGTGCTGGTATCTTGCTGGTTTGAACCTGTACAGGTCTTGTGCATGTTGTCATAGTCTCTGTGAGTTCATATGTGCATGAGTCTTCTTGTGTCTATTTCCTTAGTCATCCACCATCTCTGGCTCCTACAATCTTCTTGTCTCCTCTTCTGCATAAATCCCTGGGCCTTGAGGACAAACATTTGATAAAGACACTCCATTTAGTGCTGACTGTTCCAAACTCTACAACTGAAAAAAAAAAAAAAGCTAGCTCAGTTGGTAGAGCATGGGACTCTTAATCCCAGGGGCGTGGGTTTGTGCCCCACGTTGGGCGCCAGATATTGGTGAAATTATTATGGCCACTCCACATAGTTAAAAGGGAGGTTTATTTTGTGGGGTAATTTACAAGTGAAGGGATAGTTTACAGGGTCTGGGAAAGGTGTAGTGCAGTTCAGGTGTGTTCTCTGGAGAACTCTGCTTGGTCTACCTCCAGCGTCCAGGGTCCAGGAACCAACAGAGCCCGCACATCCAGATCTCAGGTCTTCAGCGTCCTCTCTCAGCCCCACCTTGTAGGCGTGACCATTACCGAAGCCTCAATGGGGGTTGGAACTTCCAGGTCAAAGCTGGAATGGCTACCCACTACATCCGTGCACTGACTGATTGCGTAATTTGCATGTAGTGTGATCATACAATCCATGTGCATGTGTGGCATAGCTCTGTAAGCCCATATGCACATGTGTAGGGGAATACCTAAGAAGTGGGACACAGACTCCTCCCTCTTCTTCTGCCCCCCCCAATCCGTGCACATGTCTTCCACAGGCCTGATCACATTCTCTTCTGTCCCTCCCTTCTCCTAATAAAATTCTTACAGTGAGTTTTGTCACACCTGGTGGCTTTTCTCGCATGGTAACAGCGCTGCTTAATGAATAACATTGTGCCACTGCATTAAAACCAACAAGGGCTGAACAATGCTTTGTTCTGTGGCATATGTTATTAGGAGTATGCCATTGTTCATATAGCAATTTATCATTAGGAATCATTATATTGCTATGTTCTTTTAGCAGAATAATAGTATTAGGTTTTCATACAGGCCCATGACCCCTTTTGTCTCAGGATCGTGACCACTTCAGCAGTGGTGGGTATGGGTTCTAGCTCACAGAGTGGGCCCTAAATTCAATCATAAAGTGTTTGGTTATTCCCACAGCATTGTGCCACTGTGGCTCCGGTATATCTTGCAGGCCGGCCACTATTGCAGGTTGCAGGGTTTGTAGTTGGGTAAAAATGATGGTTACTTTTCTCCCCCAGCAGTATGGAATGTACCGTCTAGCATTGTGAACACTAGTCAGTAGGAGAGAAGCTTCTAGTGAGGCACCATCTCAGCTTCTTTAGTTTTGATGACATAAGTAAGTTGTACCTTTTCCCATAGGGCCTTACCATCAGGTTACATAGAGTAATCATATGGAGAGTAATAGCCTGTGTTTTGGGGTGGGGGGTGGGGGCGGTGGGTAGGTGCCCATGGGACCTCTTTGGCTAATGATTCAACAACATGAAATCCATTCCTGGCGTTGGAGTTTTTGCTTGTTGGCGTAAGACATGTTGTCAGGGAATTGTCTACCTCATTATATGGTGATTCCATTTAAATTCCTTTCACACACACACACACACACACACACACACACACACACACACACAAAAGCTTCTACAGTAGTTGATTTCCGTATGGTTTTTCAAAGACCCTTTAGTGTTAGTTGTTCCTCCCATATTCTTTCCTTTACCCTGCTTTCCCATCCTCTTCTCCATTTAATCCTCCTCTTCCTATAAAAGTCAGCCAGAATTGTACCGACTCTGTGGAACATTTCCCAGGTACCCATTGGTAAGTTTTGATGTTTCTTTTGGAACTGTGCTAATGCCTTGGTATCATCCTGTGTCCATCTCTTTTTCTTTCAGGGTCAGTTTCTTCTATGTTACTAATCATTATTGAGTGGATTATTACTTTTTGTGATTAAAAGTCTTTGGAGAAAGTTCTTGAAGTTAAACTTCAAGGTAACTTTAGTATTCTCAAACTAGAAATGCCCACCTTTTGATGCAAATTGTTAAATTAAGCAGGGCCCGGAGCCTCTGCATTTCATACTGCTTTCAGCCTCTTTGAGAATGGTGGTTTTGCTTGCTCAGGTTTGCTGTGTTCCTTGAAAAGCAAGCACCTCTGTTCCTATCACTCTCTCTGTGTGTACTTCTTTTCTGCCTTACTCCTGATTCTACTACATCTATTCTAGCTTTGGAGAGACAGTTTTTGCATTTTGTCATAGGGTCCTCATTTCTTGGCACTCTGTTTTTTTCCACTTGTATCTCCTATTGTCTCACTGATTAATTCAAACTGCTTCCCCTGAGGACTTTTCCATGCAACTTCTGGCCGAATGCAACTGCTCTTCGCAACCTTTGAAAGTACTTTGGAGTTTATGAGTAAAATATGTATAAATTTGAAGAAAATGCTATTTAAATCTCTCCCCATTCTCTGTTCGAGTGTATAAATTCCAGCAAGAGGCAGGGAAAGTGTTTAAATAACTAATGCCATGATCAGTCTATTTAATTACTTGCAACAAGAATGATTTGGACTGATTTTTTTTTTCTGAAAAAGAATAACCTCAAAAGACTTAGTAGCTACTAATTTTTCCAGTTTCAATATCCAGAGAAGGGGAGCATGCCACTCAACTTGGTTCTATTTTACTTAGATTAAATCACATTTTAGGCTCCCATTCACTGTGTCTTTGGACAGTGATGTCTTCATACTTAATAAGCCTAGCTAATTAATTCTCACTGTAGTTCAGAAAAAGAGACTGTGTCAGAACCATGATATTGCAGGGTTTTTTGGCTTCTCTCCAGAGGCCCATTGTCTTTGGGTTATTAACTTTGGGCTCAATTTCAAGGTAATGGATGCTGTGGATGGCATATAATACAAAGCAAAAAGCCGGAAAAGCAGAACAGTCACTGGACAGTTGGTAGCATTGCAACTGGAGATCTGGGTGTTTTCCTGTAGTGTTGGAGGAAACAGTGCACAGCAGGAGTTGGTAAAGTCCCATCACCCAGATGGTATGGGTGTCCCCGGTCCTGTGTGTTTTGGGTCAATGGGAAGAATATGGAAAGTGACTGCCTCTTCCCTGGTGAGCCTTCATATGCCCTTTAGTATGGATAGTTCAGAAAGACTCGAAATTCCTGACCTTATCTCCTTCTCACACAAAGAAACTTGCCTTCACTGGGGCAATTGTGACATGTTTCATAGTGGAATGTTTAGATTGCCCGTTTCGGGTTTTATGGTTGTTTCTCCCATTAGACGGCAAGCTGTTGGGATGAGGATTAGTGTCCCAACGATCCTCATACTGCCGCTCTGATACCATGTTCTGTGCCCCGTGCAAAATGCCCATTAGGTCATGGGGATGAATAGAGAGGTGGGCTAAAGTAACCATGAAAGTCTGGTCTCTAACTGGGTTAGTAGTTCAAGGTACAAAGTCACCCCATCGCTAGCTTCCTCTTTTCCTTGCCGGCTTCTTTCTCTTACATTCTGACTGAAATGACTGAATAGCTGGATAACTAGGAACACACACACACACACACACACACACACACACACACACACACACACACACACACACACACACACACACGGTGGCAGGACTCCGCCCATCTGTTTTCTTAAAGCAGGATCAGTAGTGCAGGTTCCAGTGCCTAAGCCTGTTGCTGAGTCACACGCATCCCTAAGTTATGGGACCCTCTCTCAGGTTGTTGCTGGAGCGCATCCTCAGCAGTGATATGACCCTTTGGTTCAGGAACCCAGAGCTGATCCCTCAGGGAGTCCTTTGTGCAACAGGAGAGCAGTGGGCTCCTGCGCTCCCACCGGCTCTTTGAGTGATGAGCCAGGCTCCCTTCACCCGCCCACCCCCGGGGGGCCCCATCCCCCCTTTCTTGCAGCCAGGAGGTGCGGGAGCCCTTGGTACTGTCTGGGTGGCAGATGATCAGTGAGCCACTGACACATCGCAGGGCCAGTGAGCGGGAACGAGCACGGGGGCGGGGGCGGCCTGTAGTGGCAGACGGCCGCGGGGATTATGAATGGGGGCGGGGGCTGGCGAGTTGAGGTTCCACCCGGGATCGTCCGCACCGGCTGATGGGCACGCAGGGCTGCGCGTAATCCTCCAGCCGCGGTGGAAGGAGGCTGCAGAGAGCGCCGGCTGGCAGTGAGGGAGCTTCTGCAAAAGTCCCCTGCGGTCGCGCGCGTGGAGTGCCGGGGAGCTCGGCCAGGTAGGAGGGAGAGGAAAGGAACCAAGGGTTACGGTCCAAAGGCCCCGGCTGCGGCGGCTCACAGGTGGTGGCCTCGGTGACCGCAGCATCCAGTCAAGGCGACCGGGGTCTCGGGTACCGCGCAGTGCTGGAGCAAGAGGCGTAGGGGAGCAGCGGCTAGGGAATCAGTCGGTGGCGGTCCGGGGTCCGGAGGCGCGGGAGAGGCACCCAAGCTTCTCAAGCGCGGGCTGGTGGCCCCGCCTGGGTGGCCGCGGTATCCTGAGATGAGGCAGCGGGTCGCTCTCCCCCCGGATCTCCAGCGTTCGCCCACGGGGCAGCCTGGCGCGGGAGCGCAGCCTGAGGTTGAGGATGCCTCGCCTCCCGCCGCGCCGCACCGCACCGCACCGCACCGCACCGCACCAACTGCGGGCTCTGGAGCCTCCAGGCCGGTATGGCAGCCTCGGCGCGTTCCAGTCGCCCCTGGGAACCAGTCCTCCCACGGACCCCTTCCCTTGGGCACTCTCAGTCTCGGCCGCTCGGCCCTTGGACCTCTTGGCCAGTCCATGGGAAGCAGAGAGAGCCTAGGGACGTGGCCAGGCAGAAGGATTCCCCGAGCGGAGCCCCGAGTGGGCGGTGATGAGCTGGTGGTGCCTGGGGGCCAACTGCCCAGAGTTTGCCGGGCTCGCTGCTGCAGGATGCTCCGGCACACCTAGGTAGCTGGGTCCCCAAGCCGGGTGTACCCAAGCCTCTGCAGAACCAAGGCTCTGCCCAGAACTTTTGGCAAGCTCTGGTGCCAGGGCTGCCTTGAGAAGCTCCAAGACTGGGGAGCGGGAGACCTGCTGACCCTCATGTCACTTTCCTTCTGTTCTGTCTCCTCTCCTTGTTCTGTTTTCCTCTCTCCCTCACACACTGTCTTCTATGTGCTACACTCAACACAAAAAATCTGAGCCCGAGGAAGCCACTGTGTTGACCAAGTATGAAGAGGAAGGTGGGGAGGACTAGTTCTTAATCAGGTGTTCATCATCCGCATGACACAGCATGCCTGGGCTGATTTTAAAGCAAAACTGATTAAAAAAAATTACATGCAGGTATCTTAGGTTTCCATCACAGGTGTATGATGTTACTAAACAGAAATGCATTCTGTGCACCCCTACGTTAGATCTTTATGAGATATAGCTGTTCCATAGATCACAGGCATCTTTGAGGCGTAGCACTTTCCAGTTCTTGCAAGTTCCTAGCTACACTGTGAGAAAGGCACATTAAGTTAAAATGTATAATTAAAATAATAAAAGTCCATGCAGTTTTAGTAGATTATAATATCATTTTCTTTTGCTAAGACCACTTGTTGTGCAATGATTTTCAGGCCCCCATCCCCAATTTAGAGATCCCAATGTTTTTATGTATGACCTGAGGAAGAAGGACCTGGAAATTTTGTGGACATATATTGTCAAGAAGGTGGAGAACGCTGATGATTTCATTTTGGGTAGAGCAAATTTAGTTGTGATTTCTGCTCGGTGTACCTCATTTATCTTCTGACATCCCAGGAAAGAGAAATCCCTTTTAATATAAACATGTATTTTTCAGTGTAAAATTGGCCTATTCAGCTCTTCAAATCAATTCTTGTAGGACGAAGCAAGGAGCATATTTACTCTGGTTTCTATTATTTTTGATTTTTATAAACAGAATGATGCCAGCTTGCAAATTTTCCAAAAAAAACCCCAAACAAATAAAGTATTAAAAGGAATAGATAATTGAGATGACATGATTGATACATTTGGGATGTCTAGCAAACAGATCCATCATCTTTCTATTTTCCTGATATAATTTGTGAGCTAAAAAATTTTGCAATGTGTCTACTTGTATTTCCTCATTTGATTGGCTTCTTCATTTATTTCCAACTTGGCATATTTTGCCAAGATGAATTATCTTAAATTTCTCTGGAGGGTACCTGCTCAGATATGCCTGTTTCCTTTTCTAATAGCATTGGTTTTGATTGAGGAGCAAGAAGTAAATCATACATAGTTTTATGTTCTTGGAGTCATTTGTCAAGGTTGAGACAATATTTAATAATGACAGGTGCTGTCTATATGTGCTTGGGAAAGATATTTTTGTGTGGTCTTACAGTCTGTTTGAAATGGGGAGGAGTGAAGGGTAAAGCTGTTATGTCTTTATTCTACCTGTTTAGGCTTGAGAGAAATAAAATAGGTCTTGACTTAGAAAGATTTGGATGCTTGTAATTAAAAAAAAATATTGCAGCATGAAACTTAAGTTACTGCTCTTTCTAAGAAACCCAAGCAACCTTATTTAGAACAAACTTCAAGTGGGTTGTGGGTTATCAGACACATGGTTTCCCTGAGCACTAATTGTAAGCACCTTGAAGTAGTGTGGTGGACAATATGATGTGCTGAATTTTTCTCCTGGGAAGGACTTGCTGCTCAACCTCTGAGAATGTTCTTAAGTGAATGCCTTCAGCATCTGCAAACCCCGGGGCGTGATGAGGTTGTAGAGGACCTTGTTGTTCACAGTCACACATACTCTCTTCTAGAGCAGCCATATCCAGTGGCTAATGGATGTGGGAATATGAAGATCAACTTGTCAGCACAACTCTAAGGGATCCCTGCAACTTTGGAGCACCTGGGATGACTCACATTGCGGTTTATTTACATCACCTTTTCAGGGCTTCTTCAACCCGCGCTCTTCCTCACGTGTTTATAATAAAGTAGTATTTAAGGAAACTAAACACTATAATTTAATGTCAGAGGTGACTTGCTAGAGAAACTAATCTGTGACAATGACCCTGCATATGCTCATTTGGCCAGTTTTAATCTACTTACCTTCTGAGATGTGGTGTCAGTTGGCACTGAAGGACACTTCTTTGTTCTTCCATCCTTCCATGATTTGTCCTTCCTTCCTAACTTTGGTTTACAGTTTCTGTATCCTCTTTTCGGTCTATTAATTTGAATATTATATATCTCATATCTATTTTTCATGACTTTGAAATGTTTTTAAGACTTTTTCATTTTGTTTTGTCTTTTTAAATTTAATTTATTATTATTATTATTATTGAGACAGGGCCTCATGTAACTTAAGTTGGCTTTGAACTCACTCTGTAGCTGAGGGAGAGCCTGAACTCCAGGTCCTCCTACCTTTAAAGTTCTGAGATTATAGGTGTGAACTACCATGCCTAGCTTCATATCTTGTCTTCCTAGATACAGTGGATGAAAATGTCTATTTTCTAGAACTACATAAAGACCTCATAATTTTATCGTCTTGATACTCTGATTTCAAATTTTTTTTTAGCAAAGTAGTCCCACCATATTTTTATACTACATGTCATCTTCGTATAATTGGGTCTTTTGATTGTTTTACAGCCAGTGCTAACTTAACCTGAGCCAAATCTTCTCTGCTCTCTGGATTTCTCTTCTTCCTTTGGATTTCTGTTCCTCAAGATGACAGAAATCTCTGAGTCTCTTTTGCTTGTTTGAAACTGTATCTCATTCCAGTCCTTAAATAATAGTGTGTCTGGGAGGAGAATCCAAAATTGACAATTGTTTTCCTCATTACTTTGAAGACACAGTTCTCCAGACACTAATGTTGATAAATTGGCTCCTGGGAGGTTCTTTGTACCTGATGTTTTCCTGTCTCACTGGAGGATGTTCACTTGTGGGTTGGCTTTTACTGTTTCTTCATGGGCTTTTGAGTGCGTAGTTAACCAGAGGATTCCTGTGTTTCTTAGTAAGAATTCATAGCATATCTGACCTATTCCACCTTGCCTCTATTCTATTACTGCCTGTGGAAGTCCTACTAGATTCAACCTGGACCCTCTCTTCTCATCTGTCAAATCTATCATCTCTGTATCACCTTCCAATTACAGATAATTAGGAAGACCTTTGGGTGGCTGCCCAGAGGCAGTCCATAGGTGTTCCTGTCCTTACTGATGTCTTATCAATTGATTAATTTGCTCCTTGAACTGATTGCTTTTCTCATGGTTAAAAATGCTATTTGATCTTCAGATCTGCTTGCTTCTCCCTAGATTTTCTATCCTCTTCTTATGGATTCTAATCTTACTTTATTTCTTAAAATCATACCAGAATAGTTTGTAAGCATCCTTCAGATTGTTCTCTTACTTGAAATTCTTCTGGGATTGCTCATCCTGCAGTGGTATCTGCTAGAACTTTGATAGCTTGATAGTTCCATAAAGCATATCCTTTCTCCATGGAAGGCATAGAGTTGGTATCAGTTAATTTTTCCCATTCAGCTTGTGACTACACAGTAGAGACTTTTTTCTTTTTTTGCTGTTATGTAAGGAGGCTCTGGGTCCTCCTTAAATAATGCATTACAGCAGGTAGTTATTCTCTTTATGTTTAGCATGCAGATCTGGGTCCATTTTTGTGGGGCAGCAGTTTTAGTGACAGTTTAATCCCTAGTGGCTTATGGTCTGCCTGCTTTGCTTGGTGCATCTGGACTTTCCTCTGAATTCTGCTGCCGCCTTATGATGGGGGTTTCCTGTAGGTGAAGAAAGATATTGGTTTTAGGCTATAGGAATGAGGAGCATTCTCTGCCCTGGAGCTTGTTTTGACTAGATTCCCATGTCTGTATTTAAGGCTACCTGTTGTTTTTAGCTCAACCCTAGTTAGATATAGGAAGAATGAATCTTGCTTGCTATCTATGGCTAGGTTAGTGGTAGGAGAATTTGCACCTGTAAACCTCACTGCTGTGTTATTCCTGTGGCCAGAGGCCACCAACCAGGCCGCCAACCAGTCCACCAGCCTCTGTCCACTGTTTCGAGTCTCTGTTGAATGGCTGTGGCATCATTTCCAGGATTTACGGTCGTGCCTAGTAGAGGAGGCAGAGGGAGATGAATGATCACTGTCATGTCTGCAATGGAGTACGTGCTCTTTAAACAGCTTAAATCCTTAGCCACATTATCCATTAATGTAATTGAAAATACTAGTTCAGCTGTATTTCCCCATGACATGTATTTGTTGTAGAGAGATTATTGAAACCTCAGTTTAAAGTTC